ACACACACACACACACACACACACACACACACACACACACACACACAGTGTCGGGAGAGGCTGAATGTATTCTGAAGTGCTGATGATTGCATAAGAAAACACCTTTTTTTCTATCCAGTTTCCATGGAAACAGCTAAGGAAGAGCTAGCTCCACTTCACCGTGTGTGTGTAGGTGTATGAGCCATTAGGAGCATGTTGTCCAGAGGTATTTCTGAAACTCCCTCAATAAGCCGAGACCAGTAATGAGACAGCAGCTTTGGCATGTAGACAAAGAAAATGTTATCACGCTGGCAGATTGACAGCTAGTAAATATAGTGGAAGAGACTGAGTGGGCCAGGTACACGATCATTGGCAACCAGCAGCAATTTAGTCCATTGATTTGGTTCGTCAGTGGTGGTGTTACAGGTCGTTGTCGATCCGTACACATCCCCCTCACGGCACGCATGTGAACCGCGGCTAAATAACACAGTTTAACGTTAACATCACAGTGTGAAGTAAAGTTTTATTGATCTATAAAATATGCGATCAGGACATCGGCATTTATGCTTTTTATTAAGCCGATCTCTGATAATGTTACGTTGTAAACAACCAATCCGAGTTGAACTTGAGGAGAGCTGGTTAAGTGGCTAATGGACAACGAACTGTTCGGTTACATTATGGTGCGTTCAGGCTCTGTTGGGTGAAGGTAAATTATAACGTTATCATGATGTGTTTACATGAGAGCTTGTAAAATGTAGTGTCGGTGAGAAACTTGAATAAATCCAGTTGTTTGAAGGAGATGTTTTCACAACATAAATAGATATTAGAGATAAACTACGAGCCGTTTAAAATACCTCTAAGCAGCTTGTCATACGTCATTCAAACTAATGACAAGATTAGTTTTAATCAATGAAAATACAATATTTTAGTTCCTATTCATTTGAATTGTGTGCCTTTAGGAAAAGAAACACTATAAATTACATTCACAAAGTAAAATGATAAAATTTAGAATTTTTCATTTCTATAATCAAACGCCAAAATGGATCTTCAACGATCTGCAATTAGTATCGGCAGCAAAAATAAACATGATAAGATCTCTAAAAGTTATATTTGTTCCCTTTTTTCTTTTGTGCTGATCCGATCCGTGAGTTTTATGATCCGTTGCACCACTGTTTCTCAGTAATGGTCCGCTGACATGAATCAATGTGTGTCACCGCTTCCATTGTCTTGTCTTACTCAGACTCTCCCAACAACCACATGGTGTCTGGTTTAATTTTGCAGCGTGGGCAGTCCCCCCCCCCCCCCCCCCATCTGGTTACAGGTACCGAGAAATCACCGTGTTGACATGGACACAAGCTACATTATGTTAATTATCAACTGACCCGATTTGATTTGGGATATGTAGTTGCCTTGCCTTCAGCTGTGACAGCAGAGGGCAGGAAGTCCAACAAATGTCAACATTTAATATAATTGTGAAAATAGAGCAACTACTTATTAATTATATTACAAGCAAGAAGAGGTCATTATCACTGAGTACACAACCATCAGTGTCATCACATATGTATGTATGTATGCATTGGTGTGCGTGTTTTCTAACCTCTAGACGTTTGACCACCTCTTTGAAATCCTCCGTGTTATTACCGATGCTCCTCAGAGACGCACTTTCTCCCCGCTCGTAGAAGATCCGCAAAGAGGCGGGGCTGCCCAGCGTCCAGCCAATAACGTCCTTACTGGCACAGTTAAACACCACGGCCTTGGCTTCCTGGTCCAACAGGATGAGGAAGTCATTGGAGACGGCCAGTAGGGCCTCCAGCTCCACTCCGGTCCCGTGATCCTTAACGTGGACCATCCACGTCACCGCCCCGAGGCTGCGCACCTCCGCCCCCCCATACGGCCGGCTCTTCTCCTTTTTCTTGTGGGCCAGTGAGATGAACGGGAACTTTCCGGAGGGGTCGATGGGTGTGCTGGTGGTGTGGCGCTCGGCCAGGTCGCGCAGGTACTCCTGGCGCGTGCGGGTGGCCATGGCGCGGAACTTTTGAGACTTGTGCGCGGCGTTTTCTGCGTTGATGACCTTGGCCAGCAGGAAGTCCCGGAACACAGAGGAATTGGGAAAAGTCACGCCTTCTGGGATAGGAGGGCCGAAAGAGGGCACGTCTTTGGAACGAGTGACAGCCACACTGCAGGGAGAGGAGCAGACAAGGAAGGGAAAAGGAGGCGAGAGGAGAAAGAAGGAAAAATGGAAGGAGAGATCAGATGAGTTGTTGTTTCACAAATCAGTTGTTCCAGTATTGACCAACAAATCAGTTGCGGTTTCAGTGGGTATTTTGATCCGGCATCATAAATCACGAGGCTTTAGATGCAGTGTTTTATAATAGTTTATATAGTTCATCTACTCGGGATACCACATCACATCCAAGCAAGTATTTATGTCATTAAGATTTAAAAGCAAAAAGAAAATGCTGCCCGATTCTGCAACAGAGTTTATGTTTTGGTACAAAGCCTCATGCTGTTTGCTCACTCAAGTATGGGAACATAAAAGGCACAATCCTTGACTGCTGTATCATTAGTCAGGACAAAAACAAAAACACTGAGGCTGAATTTAAAAGTGGAAAAGGAAACAGACCTAGTTCCAGTCTCTCTGTTCTTCTTGCGTCATGGTTTCTGTATTGTTTTTATTTAAATTAGTTGTTTACTACTATCTTTATCTGCCTAAATGCTGTACATAAGTTTTTTTTAATTAGCTATTGTGTGGAAGCTATGTGATTCTTCTACTGCATGTACTTCATTTCCACGCCCTATAGCGCCCTGTTTTCCCCGCTCTCCACCTCGCTTCTCCCCCCTTTCCCTTTGACTAAGTCTCAGGAATGGCGTCTGGTATGTCAGGAACTCAGCTGAGCAGCCATGGAAGAGGAAGGAGAGTCAGGGAGGAGGACGAGGGGAGAGAACTATTCCAGATCTCCTGCCCGAAGCCCCAGAAAACCCAGAGTGAGGGAAAAGGAAAACGTGGCTGTGAAAGGGGGACCGTGTGAGGAAACTCTGAAAGGATGGGGAAGGAATTGCTTTCTGGAAGATGTGAGACAAACAGACTTACAACCATATCTGTGCCATGAAATGGCCTTTTATATGACAAAAAAAGGCACATTGTCTGTACACAGGCGACCTTTCCTGTTCTCAACCCTCTTCGTGACCACAGATCACAGAATCACAGATCCTCTCTCAGGTGATAATTACTGACGAGAGTGGCACCGGAAGTCGGAGCCCTCGTCCCACGCGCCTCCCTGCTGACATGTTGCCACCGGGATTAATCGCTTTGTCTAATAAGCAACTAAAGTCAAAATGTCACCCACATATTTCTAAACATACCTCAGAGACACCCTGTCCTCACCGGAGACGCGTGGTGTTCAATTATACCAACCGTCAAATTGTCAACACCTCAATTTCCACCTTTCCTCGTTTGTGACTGACAGAGGAAAGAGAGGAAACATATTTTTATGGCTGTGATTGCATAGAAAAGTGGCTTTTTAATAGTACGATGTTGATACATGAATGATGGGAATACCCTCAGTACATGCTACCATGTCAAGAAGTTGCCTGCATTTCCTACATTTTTACTGAACGCTCTTCCCCTGTCCTTTTTAAGGCACCTCCCATTTAATGTGCGAAGAGCATGAAAGTACTTGATTGTTCTACTTTATAGCGTAAGTGTTCTACGCTCTAGTTTAAGTGGCTGTGATCAATATTTCATATTAACAATGGATCACGTGTCCTATATGCCTGTGTGAAAAGGAGTAGCTCGTAGTGATTTTGCAGTTCCTCTTCAACTCTATTCAATTTAACACACTTAAGCTGTACACATTATGATAATAAGCCACACTCTGCACTCATCAACGCTGTTTCCAGCTGAAGCAGGCAGCTATTTATTGAAAAAGCTCAAAAACACACTGCGCGATACCCGCCCAGCGCGAGACCAACAGAGAAGGTCAGCGACCCCTCTGGTGAACATCGTGGCGCATTGAGCAGCTAAAGAGCACGATGTCTTCTTCTCAGGGATTGGTGAACGTGTAAGAGCTAGTTTTCACCTCTCTGCATACTAGCATATGAAGTCACATTTAAACTGACAGCCCTTACGAAGTACAAAGTGAGCAATATACTCTCGAGGCAATATCCACCTGCTTTTCTGTAGATGAAAAATGAATCATGCCGGGTATTTCAGAGAGGACCAGCTGAAGTGGTTATAAGCAGGCTGAACAAATGGTTAAAATAAAACGTGACCTTTTATTCCTATTGTTCTCCATCACTACAAACATCACCCAATGCATTACACTGGAGCTCTAAAAGCACTCGGACTGATCTCAAACACCTGTGCGTCAGTCAACCAAAGACCTGTGACTCATGCAGGACAGAGACAAGCGATGGGAGAGAGAGAGAGACAGAGAGAGAGAGAGAGAGAGAGAGAGGGGAAGGTAGAGGTGTGAAAGCCAGAGAACAAGATAGAGAGAGCAGAAAGAACTGAATGACAAAAGAAGAGATTGAATGAGAGGAAAAGGAGAACGGGACTGCTGGGCTGAGTGATCCTTGTGGCAGGAGGTTTGGCTGTAGAAATGAAAGAGCACATTCCTGTGGTTTCAGTGATTTGTGGTCTTATAAATATCCAGTGCGTGGGCAGCTCCGTTTTTCCAGTATCTACGACCTGCTGCCCACTGAGGCAGCGAAAGAGAAAGAAAATGTCAATACCTATTGGAGTGGGTGGCTAAGAGGTGTACTGTGTGCATGTGTGTGTGGATGTGGGGACTGGGTACATAGAACATGTTTCTGGTCTACAAGTGAAAACTAGTCCTCAAAGCAGGAACTATGTATTTACTGTTTACAGAATTTAGGTTTGCATAGTGGCGGTTTTGGCGAGGTTTAGTTCTAGAGTTAGGGAACTATATAGTGTATACTCTAACACGGCAGGGAATGGGTCGCAAATCTTTTTTTACGCAGCCAGAAGTGACACGAGAGGGTGGAGCCAAGTGCATCCGAAAGCCAAAGACAAAATTGATTTTACTTATTAACTTCAATGAAAACACACCGTCAAAGACGGACAACTACCAAGCCAGACAACTTTGTAGTGACCTGTCAATCACAAGGTAGCCACGCCTAAAGCATACCCTGCTTTATCATCTATTTTAAGCTAAATGGAACCATAACTTACTAAATTAACATCACGCTGTATTGAAGAAGACTTGAAACTAGCGATTGAGACCATAGACTTGTGTTTATAATGTTAATGAGGTAATAAATCAAGTGAGAAGTAGGGCCAGACTTCTATACAATCTGACCTCTTTTTGCCACCAGAAGAGTCGCACACCGCTGTCCTTTAGAAGGTTTATGGCACTTCCGGATTGGATTCGCTCTTCAGAACCAGAGACTCTGAAATAGATTTCTATGGGATGTGACAGTGTCATTGACACACTTGTAATGTCCAGTGGACTGCGCAGAGAGTTGAATGTGTACCCCCCCCAAAAAAAACCTCTCATGAAATTAAAAATAACTAAAATCAAGATGTGGAAGGAAGTGAGTAATTCCTCACACCGCTGAAGACGTGTTCACTGGGAGTCACGTTCAGTGTCACCATTGCCTCATTCTATGTGACGCTTGTTTGTCTCGTCCAGTGATAGTCTCACAACTGCGATGATGCATCTTTGTGAGAAAAAGAGCTGAGGTTTGGGAGCAACAGCTTTAGAGGCCACAGATATACTAAGTACGACAATGATGTGTGCTGTATAAAAATGTTCCCTAAAAAAAAGCTTCAAAGCATTTAGGTCAACCGTACTCGATACATCGTGACTCAGTCAATTCCCTGTGGTCACTATGAATCGGAAATTTACATCTGAAAACCTGGCGGTAGTGTGCGAGTGTGCGAAATTAGTATTGACTTCAGAAAACCTAATTAACACTTGTGAATTACAGAAAGCACGTGTAAGCAGTATTTGCTCTATATTCCACTTCATTCCTGAGCTCTTCGTTCACGTGTGCGTTTCTGCTCAGTAATGAAGTAGCCCCATGGGGGACAATTAAGACCTCACACAATGTGCTCAGACTGCAATTAAAATAGCTATATGTGGGAGAGGGAGGAGTCAAAGAGAGCAAGATATGAGAGAATGACAGAAATCTAGATTAAAAAGACAGAGGCAGGAATAAACGGAGAATGAAATGTCCTTCACAGCTGAACGGGCAAAAAGTTCATTATTTCTTAAAAGTGACTCCACAGTAGAGTAGTACAGAGGGCTCTCCACACTCACAGCCTCCTATAAAATAGAGTGGTGGAACTGCAAATGCAACCATTTGAAGCGACAGATAAGAGCATTGTTATTTCAGCAGTGATGGAAAGGGATTCATGAAAAGAAAAAGGTCATGTGCATACTTTTGTTAAAACAAAGTCCAAATTATCTTATATAGCCTTTTCTCTACATGCATCTACTGCGCTGGCATCAATATGAGATGACACATTATAAAACAACCACCTATTACTAGTGCAACACTGGTTTTTGGATAAAAAGTTAACTTTTTTTTACTGAGCTGGTGTTAAAATGCCATGAAACTGAGAATCTACATCCCAATTGTCTTACTAATTCCATTTTACCACCTCAAGAAAATCAGCATGAACCACTAAATTCAGCTGTTAAGTGATTTCAAAAGTCGTCGGCTGAATAATTGGTCTGGTAATAGGCATTCCTTCATTGTGTTTTTCAGTCACGCACACGCAAGCTTGCCACGCTCAGACACCGCCTGTCAGAGAGCACATCGGAAACAGCAATCTTTCGGCTTTATCAGAAGATAACCCATTGGCAAGATAACATGCAGCTGCGATGTTTGTGCGATAGAAAACATTGTTGTGTTGATACAACACTCTAAATACTCTAATATACACAGAGGTGAGTACATCCCACCTGTAGGAGCCGTTTTCTGAACACGGGTTGTGAGCACGCACAACCACAAAGACGTGCTGGAAGTGTGAGCGGATGTTTTTGGGGGTGAAGGGGAGGGCCCCGGGTTCCTGGAACACGATCGTGACGATATCATTCCCGATATGACGCTTCCGCAGTAACTGGAAAAGCACAAAGACAGCAGGACAAACTAGAGTTAGATATTGAGTAATATTAAATAATAATATGAGATATCTAGAAAATGCAGAAAAACTTTAAACCAGAATTACTTAAAAATATGTCATAGAAAGTCTGCAGTGCTTTATCTCTTGCACTATCTAGACAATTGCTACTTAAGCCATGTGCAAAATGAGTGAAATGATCGTAGGCTCATCTGTGACATTCTGACCTAGATGACCATGTTCATATACATAAATAGCTGCAACATCCTCGTGGACATAAAGACTTCAGTGTGTTGGAACTGTGAGCCCCGTCATTCACCTACCTGTTGCTTATTGTTGGGTGTGTACGGCAGCATGGTAGACACGTGGAACATGATCTCATAGTCCTTGTAGTTGGTGTACATGGAGTGGGTGCCCGTCGAGTCAGCTGTGGAGGTAGAATTACACGTGCAAAATTATATTTTGTAACCATAAACAACTATCGCTATCAGATATGGTGGAATGTTTATAACATGTCCAATGACAGAAAACATCCAACTGAAAAACTATTCAAAAGATACAATATGTATTCATTCTCTCTAAAACATTTTCTTTATGAACTCCCACACTATGAACACGTATGACCAAACATGTGTTCCCTGAGCTCTTATAAGTCTCTCGCCCCAAAGAGAGCCCCTGCATGTAAATAACCACCGACAGTCTATTGATGGGCTTTGTTCAGGGAACTAAATCGCCACAAGGTGTTTAAAAGGCCATACTTAAACTAGCTACATTACTTCAATTAATTACACTCCTTCTATAGGGAGTGCTTTGCATGGCTGTGTTTAATCAACGAGAGGCTACTGAAGGTTGTATTGCATGTCTCACAAATACAGACTGGGACTTCTGGTTCTCACAGAGCATTATGGGGGATGACTTAATTGACATAAGAATAGCATGGAGTTAAATATCAAAGCAGACATGATGGAGACATCAATCTTGTCTGTGGCAAATGCAGAGGTGGGCGGTCAAAGGAGAGAGGAAGAGAACACGGAGGCTTTCAGCTTCTCTAATAATCTGACACCAGAGGCCATCTGTCACGTGTCTGTAATGTCCGTGTATGTTTGATGTGCGCACAAGATTGGTTTACCCACAGTGGTTTCAACTACTGTCCGACCCCCTAAGGGCGACACCCACGTCGGTGCACAGAAACACACGTCTTTATGTACTTCTTTTTCTTAATTGATGAGACAGTTTGGACCGCTAAGCTGATAATATTTGCTGCTTTCTGATATCAGTCACCGAAAATTATCCTTTAAATCAATGAGAACTTCTACGTAGTGTGTGTCGATCAATGTTCACCCTGCTGCTGTGGGTTAGGCGAGCGTTTCAGTGTCACTGCGACACCGTCTGAAGGCTTCACCGCTGTATTTGTAGGACAACCTGAGATTTCGGTACATGTACATACTCTTGGCGTCCAGCTGGGCCCGGTACTTGGTGAAGCCTTTGAGTCGAACCCTCTCCCCCAGCAGATGGAGGAACTCCTCCAGTGCAGGACCAGCTGAGTCATTGTTGTACATCTCCTCCTCGCTGCTCTGGCCTGCCATGCAGTACATCACCCCCACTTTCCTCTGGAAACTCAACTATTGAGAGAACATAGATTGTTGCAATGAAAAGGTGTGGAGAGGGGGGGGGGGGGTCATATTACTGTGTAGAAATCATGTCTGAGTAACCACGTTGACATTTCGGGGGGGACTCATGTTGGCATTTTAAGAATAAGCACCTTGCGTTGTTCTGCAGTGATCGCGGTGCCATTTTCCAGAGAAATTATGTTGACATTTTCAGAGGTTCAGCTTTTGATGATTGCATCAGGGCGCATGAGTATCAAAGAGCTTGTTTTGTATTATTCTCTTTTTTAAGGTTGAGGTGCGCGCGCGTGCGTGCGTGCGTGTGTGCGTGTGTGTGTGTGTGTGTGTGTGTGTGTGCGTGGTCACATTGTGGAGATTGTCCTTCCTTTTGGGGCATAAATAGAGTGTGTGGGGGGCCGATTTGTGCGGTTTCTCCACTTAAATCCCACATAATGGTCTGTGGGAGTGAATGGATAAATTCAGTATAAGAAAAAATATATATAAATATATATATAAATTAATAATAAATAATTCTGCTTCACAATGAGACACCCCCCTGTGGGAAAAATAACACCTACACATTAAATGATTCAGAGAATGTTCTGTACATAGTACAGGACAATGTCAAGGAAACGTGCATCTTTAGTTAAAAAATGATCAGTTACGCTGAATGGATAGTATTTTTTTCAGAATGATGATGACAATTTGAAGAAGAAAATAGAGAAAAAATAGAGAATTCTTCCAATAAATGAATCAAAGTTACCGAGCGCAAATCCGTTTCCTAAATGCGTCCACTTACCCCCTGCTCATCCAGCTTCATTAGCTGCTCGGTGACCTTTGGTGTGTTGAGTGCCAGGCGCAGGCAGTGGACGTTGAGCTCAGGCACCAGGTGCTCCAGCACCTCTTTGAGGGGCAGGCCTCGAGCTAGACCGTGCTTGGATGTGGAAGGTACTGCATCTTCCAGGATGGAGCCCCTCAGGGTATTCAGCTGGAGACAGCACAACCAGAGGGAGAGGAGAAGGAGAATTGGGAAATACAAGGATCAGGACAAGAATTGATTTCTTGAGTTGTTTCAGACTACACACTGTTGTACACTCTTTAATCATTACTGTTGCCGAATTACTTTTCCTTATACTTGAGTAAATCATATGTTTGGTGACCTGCATTGTCTTGGTCTGCGGTGTTCTCTACAGCAGTTGTGTGGCTCCATCATTAAAGACATTTTTCTTACAAGGCTATTGCACGTACTGCCTCCTTATCTATGTTCTCTACCGACGCCTAAAACTATCAGCAGCTACAACTTCTGGTCATTCCTTTAATCTGCACCATTTTTGGTGAAAGTGCTTTTAAAGTTGTTGCACTCTAACCTTGGTGTGAGCTACAAATACACGTTAAACTAGAGTATATTTTAATTATTGCTAATTAGCAACAGCAATTTGCTGTTTGTTTTTTAGTCTGTTGTAGTCCAAAATAAAACAATGCAAACTATTATTTTCTCCATTGATCAGTATAAAATATTTTACTTCTCTTATCGACGAAATGAAACATTTTGAAACTCTCCCCAGTGTGATTTCATCTTAAGAGTCTATCTCACTGCAGTATAACTGAACCAGATTTAGTCTGGCTTAGTAGATTTGCTGCTTAGATCATTTTTATTTTGGTTCTGAATATTTTTGGCGGGGTCCCTCCCTTTCTGCTCAGAAAGCCATCAGTAGAAACCTAGTAAGTCTATGTCTGGAAACTGCAAGAAAGCCTGTTATGAGGCCCGAAGGCCTGTGTAATTATATTCAATTTACAGCATAAGAAGGCTCTTTTCAAAAGATAATCATGGCCATCAATGCATCACGGGCTCAAAATCTACATATTTTCCTACAAAATCCAGGATAGAAATTGTTTGTGCCAGACTACGTAAAGCATGCATGTTGGTTTTGCTGCAGTAGTTTTCAATAAAAAGACTCTTGAGGCAAACTCGAGGACGAAAGCCATGAATAAATCAAGAGGACTGTTAAAAGGACCAGGACCTACATAGCCTTCGAGAACAAATGAAAAGAGCTGGATATCTGTAGTGGTCCCAAGGCTCTTAAGATTCACTTATAGTGTTCAGTAGGCTCAGGGTTGGTGCCAACACCCTCAAGTTTAAACAAACTGAAGAGAAGTACTCGCACTTAAGAGACGGCAATAGCTGCCCTTATAGTGGACACTGGACATATCTCTTTAACATCAGCGCATCCCACTCACTCCTACAAAAAGCACACATACTGTATATAGCTATACCTGCCCAGCACCCTTTTCTGAAAATAGCATTTCTGAAAAAAATGTAGGAAAACGCAGCACAGTAGGTTGTGCGTCATGACCGAGTGATTGGAAGGCCTATTGCTCATGGTGCTCCTCGATACAAAGAGCAATGCTTTCCCCTTCTCTACTAGAATACCTTTGGTGCTATTTTAGTCTCATTTAGCTGTGAAATGGCACAGCTCAGTCCTTCACAGATGAAGGCTGACAAAGATGGTAGGTGGGCGTTCAGCTCAGAGAATGAGGACATGCATCTCTGGCTCGAGTGTCTATAGGAGGGGATGGCAGCAAACGCCTTGAGGGATTCACACAAGACTTCCGATCGCTGCGAACTGTATATGGAGCATCGTGAACAAACAAAAATGTAATCAAACGCATATAATAACTTGAGGTGGTGTTAAGGAATGGAGGCGGCGGCATCTAAGGTCTTGAACCATATCTGAAGCTTTTATAACGTCTCCCTCCAACTGTGTTTCTCAATAAGCAAGGCTATGATCCATTACTCCTACACAATTTGAACTCATAACAGCATCTCAGCAACATCACTCTGTACAGAGTGTACTACATACTGACACATTTGTGAACATGAACATTCACGGCTGCAGAGAGAACAGCTACAAACACAGTATATGCTGGTGAATGGACCGTCACATTACACAACAATCAACAAACCAAGATAGTGAGAAACAATATCTGTGTGTGTGTATTGCCTCATTCGTTACGGTCAGATGTCTGAAAGGACTATTCAGTTGTAGATAGTCCTCAGATCCTCTTTACAAATCCGTGCTATTTTGTATGTTTTGTACGTGGAGAACAAAACGCTGTTCGATGGTTCAACCAGAGTGACGACTGAAAGGGCAGAAAGGGACAAAGATCCTTCTGCTCAACAAAATACATACCCAAAATAATTACAGCCCAAGTGAATCGTTGTGTCCCTTGCACTTTTCTGGACCGGAAATCAAATTAATAACCAAAGGGCATTTTGGGGGGGGGGGGGGGTTGGTTACAACAGAATTCTCCCCTAGCATGTAACATTGTGGGAACATCAACTAAACACAAGTTTTGATAATGCAATTCTTCATCATTCTTTTGAGGCCAAAACTATTTTAAATGTAAATACATTAATGTTTGAATTACACTCTCTTTGTCTCTGTTAAAATAGTCACTATTGAAGGAAAGAAGAAGAACATCAGCATCACATGTGACTCCAAAGTGTCCATTTCAATGTACCTCACTCGTTCTGAAGATGACCCTGTAGTTATACTGCTGGCCATGCTCCTTGTGTTCATCCAATTTCTCCCGCCTGAGACTCACTGCTACTGGGCCCAGGTTCTCATCTACCCCCAGATAGTTCCAGTGTTCTAGGGGTGAGGAGGAATGAGATTTGAGGCAGGGATGGAGAGATAAGGAATAATGGGAACGAGAGGAAGAAATCACAGAAGGGAAGAGAACTTGGGAAATTAAAGGACGGCTTTGTCACTCTACTGGTCTAATGCGGGAAGGAGGTAAAACCTGACTCAAAAATGACTGCCTCCTCCACTGCTTGCCAAATACAGGATGCAGCACATGCATGAATAATAATTATTTTGCCAATTGTCTACAAAACATTTAAAGCTTGGCTGTTAGCAGAGAATAATAGCGATATAGTCTTTTAAATGATCATAACATACAGTCAACAGCATTTAAGAAAGACAACCTCCACACTAGACAAAAACAGAAACAGTCATCAACAATCAAGAACTATGAGTCTAGAAAAGCCCAAATTGAAACTATCCTATTTTGCTCACCTCTGAGGTAGAAGTACTTTCGGTAGTAATAGGTGCCGAGGTCAACATGTTCCACAATGTAACGTTTGGACCTGTCAGCATGTTGGCTCGCCCCGTCCTTGGCGACCTCCAGCACTGCCACACCAGCGTTGGTAAAATGAGTAGTGAGAGTGGCATCCAAAGGTCCTTCCTCTGTACTGCCTGAAGAATTGCTCGAGCTCCCACCACTTCCTATGCTGCCCGGCTGTGAGATGAAGGACAAGGAAAAGTAAACTAAGTAAGCTGACGACCATATTATTCATTTAATCTTCACTGCATCTTCAAAATGCAGTAATCAACTTTTAAGTTTTCTTCCATCTTGGTGTTGAAATGGCCAGAAAGTTCAGGAATCAATATTACAGCCTGGAAATCTTATTTTTTTAAACAAAGACAAATAACCATATATATTTTTTTATCTAATCATTTTATTCTTGCACTAAACATACCTGTTTAGCAGAAGAGATGTTCCTCTCACCCTCTCCACCAATCTCATTCCTGAAACAAGGGCAGCTGAGCACCAGGTCGTTGCTCTTGTCATCACCAGGGTCCAGGGCAGGGTTGGTACCGTGTCCTCCTCCCATCCCCTCCTTGCTCAGCTCCTCTTGTGAGCCACAGGGCGACCCGTACACTCCACTCTGATTGGAGGCGAGGGAGGACGTGGCCGAAGCAGAGGCGGCAGCAGCGGCCGAGGCGCCGGTAGTGGTGTTCTTGCGTTTAGACCCAGATTGCCGACTATGGATCACCTCATTGAGGTCAAAGAGCAGAGACTGGATGTCAAAATGGGCAAAGCCTTTTTGACACGCCCAGGGTTTGGGAGGTGGGCCACTGTCATCCCCTTTCCCCCCGTCTTCAGCATCCGAGCCGGCTCTCGATGTGTCGCCCTCCACCTTCACGCTGCGCAGCTTACGGAATATCGATTCTCCGCCCGTCTCAGACTTTGACCTCCTCTTCAAGTGCTTCTCTCGTTCCTTCAGCCGACTGGCAGGACTTCCTCTGGCTGGACCTAAAGCTCCGTCTGGCAGGTCCAGTGCAGCCTGTTTTGTTGGGGCCACGGTAAGTAGCTCTGTTAGCTTCTCTGGAGCTGGGCTTCGCTGATCTGGGGCCTCGAAGGACTGGTATCCTTTTAGCATGTCAAAGAAGCTCTCTCCTGAAACGCCATGTTTATCTATGGATGAAGTGCTGCCATACTCGCGGTGCATGGGCGTCCACCCGGAGAAGGACCAGCCCTCATTGCCGTCCACATCCAGCTCGCTGATTGTTATATCACTGTTACTGCGCTGGCGGATGCGCTTCATGCCTTTGCGAGGTGAGCCCAGATAGCCATCTGGTGACAGAAAGCGGTTGTCCTTCCCCTTGCTGTGCATCTTGTTCTTTAGTGTGTTGTGGATGTTGCGCAGCATGGATGAGTCCTGAGGGCTTATCAGGTGGCCCAGCTTGGCTGACAGATTGCTGTGGGCTGTGACGGCTGACACCGATCCTCCTCCACTGCCACTGCCACCACTACCACTACTGCCACTTCCTCCTCCTCCTCCTCCTCCTCCTCCACCTGGTCCCCCTCCAACAAGTCTTTCTCTATCACCACTTCCTGATCCTGAAGAGCTGGTGGTGTTGGTGGAGCTGGGCGAGTCCGTTTCCACAGTAATATGCCAAACACCCCCTCCTCCCCCTCCTCCATCCTTCCTCGGGGGCCAATCAGCCACACGAGCCCGAACCCCCATCTTGGGGACGCCAGGGTTGGTGCCGGTGGTGGTTGAAGAGGAGATGTGGGCGCTCTCGCTGCGTGGCGGCGGTGCCCCTCCATTGGGCAGTCGCAGGCGGCGGGTATAGAACTCATCAGAAGCCGGCACTGAGCCCCCGACCGAGCGCTCTGTCTGAGAACGCTTCAGACTGGTCATGGTGGAGATGGGAAAGGGTGTGGGGAGGGGAGATGGGAGGGAAAGGTAGGGATGAGTTGCTGATGGATTTAGATTAGGGTCAACATAATGCCCACTGAGTGAAGTAACGAGAGAGTCTCACGGATACATTTGGTGCTGCGGAAAGAGCAAAGAAAAAGAAAACATGAATAGGTCAACAAAAGATTAAAATCAATGGTCTCCAATAAAAGGAATGGTAGCATTTACAGTAAGTGTGTATAATATCACAAACACCCTACGTCTTATTTGGCTAGCTTAAAACTTTTACAAATCAAATACTGAGTGATATATTTTATCTTACAAAGAGCATTAAACATTGGCCCCCACCATTCAAGTTTAAGACCTTAAGTGCGTATTCTTTTTAATCAAACAGTGGAGACGCTATACCTTTCCGGAGCTTGATCAAAAGAAATGTGTTGACGGTGAACTTTTACAGCTGGCCTCTAAAAAGCAGTCTGCATCGCAACCGCGCTGCAAGAGGACTAGATTCAGTCTGAATGGGACCAACTCAGCAACTGAGAAAAACAGTACAGAGAGAGAAAGGAGAGAGAGATATCCAGTTAGGGAACATCACATGTTCTACAGCATCAAATCTTACCTTCATTTCAGATACTCCAAGAGCCACCATTACAAAGTAAGCAATGGGAAACTACTGTATGTCTGGGAAATTTAGAACAATAAGGCCCGCGTGCTCATAATTAGTGTTGTCATGATACCAAAATATAATTTCATATATTTCGTATTCTTTTTATAAAACAGGGCCGGCGCTTCAGTAACAGGTCAGGCAGAGAGTGCTACTGCAGCACGAGAGACGTCATGAGACAAAGTGATAATAAATTCAGATGAAGCTCTGTGAGAAGTCGAAGAGGGAAAAGCTGCTGAAATCAGTAAGACACCGCAGTAAGTGTAGAAAGCGCTGCGTGTTATGAAGAAGAGGGGTTTGTGTCACTCTTGCCCGGGCTGCTTCTCCTTTCTGTCCATTTCACATGGCATGAGGAGTGTGTTGTTGTCGTCCCTCCCTGTCTGAGGGCGGTGCTGTTTTGTTCTGTTTGTTCATCCTCGGGTTTACTGCCAACTGTAAAATGTAGTCCAAAGAGCTGTCGGTAGTTTTAGGGGTGGAAAGTCCTTTTTGTTCACCTGTTTTTCTCTTGCTTGTTCATTCGGGAGTATTTGGTGTTTATAATTCACCAGGCAGCGAGGGTCGAAGATCGAGCAGCAGCAAGGAATTGTAGAAGCATTTTTAGTCTATTACATGTCTCACAAATTCAGAAAAGTGCGATGCTGTTGTCGAAGCACTCTTTTAAAAGAGGCCACCGAATTTATTCCTATCGGAACTTTTTGTACGATATACTGGAAAACTGTAAATTACAGACGCTTCAGGAGTTAATTTGAGTTGCCTTCTGCATGGGAGTCGTGTCTTTCTTGCTTGAATTGTTCTTCATAACATCAAGGATCCATGACGTTGAAGACCTTGAACAGCCCAGACAATTTGGAGATTCCCCTGAAGGGCTTGGTAGAGTCATTCAAATTACAACCACATGTACAAAATCAACATCTCAACTAAAAAAACGACGTGACAGCTATCGCCCTCCACAGCCATTAATGCGAGAGGTGAGCAAAGACTTCAGCCTGCTTGTGTTTGTCTACTGGTTCGTCCATTATGGTGCATTAGCGCTCTCCTTCACACTTTGTATCACCATGGAGATAAGGAGTCCTACAGTACGTGTGTGTGTGTGTGTGTGTGTGTGTGTGTGTGTGTGTGTGTGTGTGTGTGTGTGAGAAAGAGAAAAATGAAGACAGAACAATTGATTCCTTTCCGTCCCTTCCCACAGTCCTCGCTGTTTCACAAAACTTAACACATCACTGTTGAGTAATTATTAATGCCTTAAGCAGCACCAACAGACAAATCACTCCCATACTCAGATATCTCATAAAACTATCTGCACGGATCAATGACGCAAGTTGTCTGAGAAAATGTATTTTGTGAAATGGGTGAACTGGCCCTTGAATAGAGATCGGAGGCGCTTTGTCGTGGCATTGTGCAGCTTTGTGGACAGTACTCGTGACACTACAGTGCGTCCTCCACTAACGCCGTTTGTGAGTTGTTCAGACGGGCCTGTTGGAGCAGCATGACAGCCTAGTCTGGGCTTTGGATTGGCTTTAAACATGCAAGTGTTTGAAGTCCAATAGGCAGAAACTCAAAGGTGTTGGGTGAGCATTTGTGTGTGTGACTGGGAAACTGGGAAAGCTTTTGATGTGCTAAAAGAGGCTTTTAAGTTTTCCATTGAAGACTATATTCTAAGAAATACTGTATAAGTACTGTAAGTTCATCTTTAAGATAGCAAGCGGCCATGCGAGTTGTCTCAACTGGTGTACTAGGACAGACATACAGTCATCTTGGCGTGGATCAAAATTAAACTCTTTCAATTCACTCTCAAAAGAGATCGCAAAAATGAGCAACTGAGAGGGCATGAATATAGATGAACCTCCTCAGAGGGGATTTCCTCGATGCCGGTAAAATTATTTAAGCTCGTCAGACGTTACTTCAGTAGAAACCAAGGTGGACCAGTGGTTCACCACTCTTTTCAAAGCTCATTCAATTGGATTCAAATCCCCTCGATACCAAATGACACATAATAGAGTATTGCAAAGTGTTCAAATTATCCACGTTTCCTCCCATAAACTCCTACATAGGATTAGGCAGTGATAATCGGGTATAGTGTGTTACAAGTGGCATAAACACAGAGGAGAAAGTCGTGTGTTGTGGAGGGTTTTTTTCATCATATATTGTGAAAGAGAATTTGTTCTCTGACATCCACGTAATTTGGTCCCTGTCACTACAGAATTTGACTATTCCTGTTACGACTCTATTCAGTGTACATGAAGGCAGCAACAAAAAACCTGCAGTAATAAACTACTTCAACTACTAACACTTAAAAAGTGGAGAGCCAGAGTCTCTTTTCTCAGTTTCTCTTATGCACAAGTGGCTCAGTCAGACGCCTCACCAAAGTACAATGCGCATAACATTACAGACAGACGACTTTGCAGCTGATTACAGGTGGCATCTTGTGCAAAAAAGAAACGATACAGCTAAGGCAAGAAATAAAGTTCAAACTATTCTATTAAGAGCCACAAAAAGTACTCAACAAAGGTATCAGTCACAAAGTAGCAACACTGCATTGGCCTCCACTAAGTCAATGACGCCTTTGAAATCGCACTCAAAAAGTGTAACCCAAATATCTACCCAGAGAGAGTCTCTCTCTCAGCACCCTTAATGAGAGCTGGGGAGATACTGTACGTTAGGTAAGGAGACTGGGAATTGAAACCAATGAATGTGGCTTAGAGCGCCTTTCTGCCGTCACAGAGGACCAATTACACCGACAGATACTCAGTAACCTTTAGAGGTGTTGAAATGAGGTCGATTCCTGAGGTAAATATGGAGCAAAGTGCTACCAAAGTGCTGTCTTCTGGCCCAGTCAACTGAATATTGTTAACAGAGGAACTAACTTGCATCTTACAGACAATGGTGCACCATAAACACAGCATTAGCAAGTTATGAAAGCGTTGTTTTAATATCCTACCAGGCATTTGATATTCGAGATATACACTTCCATGCATTATATACTATAGATATATATAGTTGCACTATAAAGGGATCACTTTAATGCCAGTATGAACAGGAGGAATTATTACAGTGGCCAATAACTCTTCTATTGCATTGTTTCAAGACAGACTTGAGCAGATTTGCACTTGTCCTTTAAAAAAATATCTAAATATTTTAACTTAATTTTGTGTTAGCACTGGTACTTCTGTGAAGCACTGAAAGAGCAGTATATTTTCAGGAGGAATTTCCTAGAAAGAACTGCTCCAGACAGAGCTAAGTTAATATCATTCATTATCAATTTATTATTTTTATGTCGAATGCTTTGTTTGCTTTTCGACACGTTTGCCTGTTCAACTGACCTGCTGTGTCAATGAGCAATAAACAACAACATTTATGAATTAATTCACTGATGAGTACAATGCCATGAGGGTGCCATTCTTGATACTATGGTGATATCAAAGATATGTAAATCCTATTGCACTTATTTGCAGTGTCTTTGGCTCCTCCGGTGTAAGATTGTTATTGTCAAGCAGCACATGGCGTGCCAGTATGGACACTGTGACTATGAATCTGCTCCTTCGCACAGTTAGTCATAAACACCTGGAAATTACGGAGCACGCGAGCTGACTGACGGCTGAAAGAGGCAAATAAAAAGTCACAGAGAGACTCTTAAAGAGACGGTACAAAAAAGTTGAGCAGAAGATACTGTGAGAGTGTGTGTGTGTGTGTGTGTGAGCATAGCTCAGGTGCAAATACTGAAACCCTATATCCTCCATTTCTTCTCTCCATTCTCAGAAATGCTGCAATTTGGAACCGGTTAATATCTTTAGACAATTGCAGAGTGAATTCATGTTCGGTGTTCATTAATCAGCCGGTATTGTGGTTGAAGAATAAAGTTTGCCCAGGCCTGTGTTTAGCAAAGATCACCACCTTGCAATCACAGAGCGGTTATTAAATGACAGAAGTATGGAGGCAGGAGACAAAAGAAAACAAGAAAGTAAAATCTGTACGCTAGTGTCAGTTGTGCTCTAGTTTCTTTTTTACATGACCTCATCTCTGACAATCATACACCCGTTTCCACGCAGACGTCCTTACCTAACCGACTGGTGAGTCAAGTCAAGTCCAGTCATGTCGTGTCTTTTTGTAAAACCAGACAAAACAAAAAGAGATTGAGGCCAAGCCCAAGCTCTCTAAGGAGACAGACGGGAGGAACCAAAAGCTTTTGGACAAAAAAATAATGGAAGGAACCTCTCAAGTGTAAATTCAAAAAGAGATCCCCTTTCGTAGATGGCTGAGGGTGCGATAGGAGCCGTGTGTGTGGAAAATGGCAACAGAAAGAGTGAGACACCGACTCAAACTTTGACAGCAAGTGTTCTCAAACACCTGCTTCCAAGATGCCGCTGGGCATATGGGCAAAATATACAGTTAGACATGCATTTGTTCACGAGCAGGTGTAGATACCGCAGGACAAAAAAAACACACGAACAAGTTCCAGGTTATGACTCAGGCACTCAGTGCGTCTGTTTCTCGGTCTCACACACAAATACACTCAAACAAAGGACACGGGTGATGAGGAATGTTGCACCACAATTATTATTTTCTCACCCAAGTCATCTTTCCCAGGATCAGTGTCTCAGTTTTCAATTGGTTTAAACTTCGACTCTTTTGTCATATTCAAACATTATTGAGTATTAGCTATATTTGTGGAAAGCAGTAATGATAGTTTAACATGTTCTCTGGGAATTGTACTCACTAGCTGCAGGTATTTCAAACCTCGCAGTGGCCTGGTGTTGATAAATGCTACACAGCCATCTGAGAGCTTTGCATCTCAGCTCGTCTGAGTGTGGACGAGGAAACGACCGGCCGAGACACACAGGGAAGATAAGAAGGAAGAAAATAAATCAAACATTATTCTCTTTGAAAGTTGACAAGGCAGTCCAAGTGTTGGGGTTTCAGCTCAGAGCATTTCAAAGTGAAATTGTAATTGTGTGGAAAGATAAACGTGCTTTGCTTATTTTTTTTTCTCTTTTCCTCTGCAGAGCTCGGCGGTGGGGTGGGGGTCTCCTCTCTGGTTCAGTGAGATGTAAAAGTGGCTTTCGGCAGCTCTGAAGTCTGCCGATTGTTGTCTTTTTCTCTTGAGTGTGAAATTGCGAAGGCGTTGTACGGCGTACACTCCCCCCGATCCCCGGCTCTCACAGAGGAGATGAGCATGGAGATGTGAACGAGTGACGAGAGTCTGTGTGCTGTTAACAATAGTTAAAATATGAAGCTGTTACTTAATAGTAGACTATATGAATTGTGCTATGGTTCCAGGTACCTTAAAGGTTTTAAATAAAAATATGAAAATATTTAAATGTCACTTTAACAATACGTGAACAATGTCCCTTAATACGGAGCAAAATATCAGATTTGTTTTTGAAAGTCAAGTGGATGGCGTTTTCTTTTAGTAGCAGTTTTTGAAGCACTGAGTCACAAACATGGAACATCTCATTTCCATATCAGCAACTCATTGCTCCATGACTCCATTGACTCCTATATTAGTTTCATTGTGACTCATCGAGATCCTCTTTCTTGCATTTCGCTGAAGCTAGCACATGCTTTAGGAAATATATGAAATATTCTTACCTTGCCTTGAAAACAACAACAAAGAAAAAGCTGCTCTTCTTTGCCTGTGGATGTCTGGATCTCTTGTAAACACAAAGACCCTAAAAAGATGAAAAGAAGAAGAAAGTTGAATGTTTCTAGGATCAGCCTCAAACTTTAATCTCGGCTAAATGAAGTATATTCTATATAGAATCATAAGCGATGCGAAGAGGCAGCAATATCCATCAACTGATGACAGTTAAATCAGGTTATAGGAGGACCAGATTTGCACTTGATTGGCTACGTACAGTATAAACTAGGGAAGTCACTGCAAATGATAAAAAAATTAAGCATAGCTGGCAGATTCTTATATTTCCTTCTTATTGGAATTCTTTTTTTAATCACATTGAAGTCTGTTATGCTGTGTCCGTAAACACTAAATATATTACTTGCCGGGTAAATCTCTTTGCCTCTCATAACACTCACGTACCAGTTTATTAGGTTCACCGAGTTAGAACCAATGCAGACTTATACAACAGCGCTGCAATACATCCTAACTTCTTATAATGCCATTTGCTTTTATTCAACTGCGTTGTTGTTTTGGAGCCTGTAGCGCTGTTGAATTGCATTGCTTTATACCAAGACGTGTTCTTAGTATTTTGACCACCCCCTTTCACCTGCTTTTAGGTGTCACATGTCAGTGAACTAGCTAACATGCTGTCCCTCTGAATGACAGCAATGATGATGCCCTCTCTATGGGGAGAAGAGGAGGTAGGAGTGACGATAGGACATGGAGGGGGAGGGGGGCATCACATGGAGAGAGTGACTAAGGCTAAGTGCCACTCTGTGTTTCAGGTCCAGTGTGCAACAATGACACAAATAGCTATGGCCTTCCTACACGCCCTACGTGCAAGTGTGTCCATATTTGTACCGTTGCCACGGCAAAACAGCTGAAAATCAGCTGTTATCACACCAGTACATTGAGAGAATGTGTAATATATATAGATCTATATAGATCTATATATATATAGATCTATA